GGAATCTGTACATCAGTTGATTGACAGTTGAGAGGCGAGACTAAAGAGCCAGAGCTCAACCCCCGCAAGCACAATTATGTGAGTACAATTAAGTGATTACACACACACACACACACACACACACACACACACACACACACACACACACACACACACACACACACACACACACAGCCACGGTAGTTTCAAAGCGTTATACGACAAAGAGTACTGGGAAGACGGGGCACCACGAGCGTAGCTCTCATCCTGTAACTACACTTAGGCAATAACTCACTCTTAATGGGTGCTAAACGCAAGTTAACAAACTAAAATACGTAAGGGTTCTTCCAGTTGTATTACCTCAAGAACACTCGAGGACCGAACTTTACAAAAGTAAAGTGAGGTAAAGTGTAGCTGAACCCAGAACACACCAGGTTCACAATATTCACCAAGAGACACAAACAGCACTTTCCTGTACCACGGCAGATTACTCTCTTCAAAATTTATCTCTCTACTCAAGAGGCAAATTTATGCTCGGCCCAAACTTCGTGTTGAGGTAAAGTATTACGTGTTCGGTATTACCGCTGTTTCTCTCTCTTAAACCATGTACAGTGGTGGTGCCCTATACCACACCACTGGTGCTGCACCGGGTGTAGTGGCCACAGTGAGTGACGGACCGTGTACAGTGGTGATGCCCTACATCACACCACTGGTGCTGCACCAGGTGTAGTGGCCACAGTCAGTGACGGACCATAAGTCCGTAGGAACAACTGCAACTCTATTCGATATGACAAACTATTTCCCATACTCCTCACACTCAACTGTGTACTCATCTTTGAAAATGACACATTCATTGTAAGCTGGGCTCTATACCCTTAACAGAGTTTAACTCACCGAGCAGCTGTGTCTGAATGCTACATGTATACAACACCATACAGTCAATAATGGATATCACTAACAACCCACAAGTTTAAAAATAAAACAAACGTCGTCAGTTTCTTTTTTCAGATGTGTGTGTTGGGTGTCTACACAACAAGGAATAATTATGGCATCAGAGTCCATGTTATGTAGATTCCATCCCATGATGGATTCCGAATACATGATACACCGGATGAGTTATCCAAAGAATGTGCTGTCAAATGAGTTGACTTTAACAGCAACTTAACTATTTCTGACTATGCGTATTAGTGGCTTTATTTACTATGCATTTGATGTAACAGCTAATTAACCAATATATCATATTATGACACTGGCACGCTACGGCTGTGCCAGTGTCCACCACCGCTGGAAGGCTGGCTATGGCCTAAATCATTGATTGATTGATGAAGATTAAGCCACTCAAAAGGTGGCACGGGCATGAATAGCCCGTAAGTGGTGGCCCTTTGGAGCCATTACCAGTATCAAGAGCTGATACTGGAGATCTGTGGAGGTGCAACTGCACCCTGCGTGACGGGAGATGTCTCCCGTATGCCTAAATCATAAAATGAACTAAACTATAAACTGGTACCTCTGAAGAAATCCACAAGGGGCCGTGACGAGGGTTCGAACCAACATCAGAGAGGATCGCACACGCGCCTGGTACCTCTGTTCACCTGTTAAGCTGCTACGTAACCTGCTTTCTGCCCCATGAAAATGGTGTAATTAGGTTTCTAATTACGCTAAGAATAATTAATAAGTTTATAGACTATACGTTATATACGCATACAGCAATACTTAAACTTACCACAATTATTTGACCTCATTATAAATATAACTTTGTTATCATATTTGTATAAAGTGATAATTATCTTTCCTTAAAGGTCAACCAATCTCTTAACTAGAAAACGTGAGTTGAGCATTAGAAAAAACGGAGTTGAGAGGGGGGAGGACTTAGGTATTGTCGCCGGGGATGATCTGCTCGGTAAATATCATGTCTTGTGTGGGCAATAACGACACAACTTGGTCTTGCCTGTACAGGCGAGATCTCCAGTCTTGACAAGGAAGGTATTGCATTTGTCACTGTTATTTGTGGTATACTTGACGGTATAATTTGTGGTATAATTTGCTATTTTACCGCAGTTTCTCCACAATTTGAATAGAAACTCTTAAATACGGGTTACATTATTATTTCACACAGATATCACACTAACGTGATGCATCAAATGAACAAATTTGATATCCAGTAAGTTCAGTAGAACTTCGGTTTCAACCCTTTTACCCTGTCGTAGCTCAGTCGATTAAGGCAGTGTCTGGGATGCTCCCGGACGCAGGTTCGAATCCTTGTCACGGCCCTTGTGGATTTGTGCATTATTATTTCTTATATTACATCTCTTATATCAGGTTAAGGACCTGGCCGAAACGCTATGCGTGTTAGTGGCTTTGCAAGAGTGTAAGATACCAATCTTATATAATCTCACAAACCCCCCTTGTACCTTCTTGTAAATAAAACCATTATTATCATGTCTCCGTGGTGTAGTGGTAAGACACTCGCCTGGCGTTCCGCGAGCGCTTTGTCATGGGTTCGTATCCTGGCCGGTGAGGATTTACTGGGCGCAAATCCTTAACTGTAGCCTCTGTTTAACTCAGTAAAATGTGTACTTGGTTGTAACAACGATTCTTCGCGGCGGGGATCGTATTCCAGGGACCTGCCAGAAACGCTACGCGTACTAGTGGCTGTACAAGAATGTAACAACTCTTGTATATATCTCAAAAAAAATATATATACATATATGACCATATATATACAAGAGTTGACCAGACCACACACTAGAAGTTGAAGGGACGACGACGTTTCGGTCCAGGACATAACCGAAACGTCGTCGTCCCTTCAACTTCTAGTGTGTGGTCTGGTCAACTCTTGTATATATCTCAAAAAATTATATATTACTTTTATATTATTATTATCATTGCAAATATTCAGATAGGAGTAGAAGTTAACAATTATATATAATTCCCGCTGTATAAGCCATGATGCATGTTCGGTCGACACCTCCCACAACAGATCTGCTCAAAATGACAGTGACGGAGGAGGATTGCCTGTCAACAAAAATCCATTCACGCAAATCAATGTATTTGATGAATTTCTGGTAAAAATATCTGAGGTGACTGGCGGCCCGTTTATCCTCTTATCTTAATAGTCGCAGCAAGGAGAGGGTCCTGAAGGTCGGGTGGGGGTGAGCCCGTCTACATCACTGTCCATACTGACAGTAACGAGGCAGTAGGAGCGGCCTTACCCTGTCTAGAGACAGTAGTTGGCAGCACCTTGTCACGTTCCCAGGGATGTGTGTTGTGTGCTCAGCCCGTTCACCTAAGGTTTCTCACCGTCGATTGATTGATAAGAGATTAAGCCACCCCCCAAGCGGTGGCACGGGGATGAATAGCCCCTAAGTCCCAACGTTAAGAAAACGGTCAATTTAAAGTAGTCTCTCCTAACCTACCAGGGGGGAGCCAAAACAGAAAACGGTACATAACGTCACTTTCGCGAGCCGCTTCCATTTTCTAGTATGACACCTTTTAGCCTCATGTAACGCATACGAGCGAAAATTCCCGTTCCTTGAAGAAAGACAGGTTGGTGTGGTGGTGATAAATATTTAAGCCACCCAAGAGGTAGCACGGGCATGAATAGTCCATAAAAAGTGGAGCTGGTGACTCCCTGGGCACCACATACAGCCCCGCTCCTGTGCCGGGTAAGTCCACTCACCATAAGGAGTGGGACTTGCAACATTTTGTTCCGGGTAGCTGAATCTTAAACAACTCCTTGGATTATATATAGTGGGCTGTCGTTTTGTAAGGTGCGCCCAGGGGAAAGGTGTGGCGCTAAGGGTCACTGGGGTGTATTTGTGTGTATGTGTGTATACTCCTTTATACACACATTATACAACGTTGGAAAGGTCCCCGCCTTCCCAACCCTCAGTTGTCTAATGTGCTGGATCCTGACTTATTTTCTCTATCACAACTACTCTATATCTGTCTCTCACATATCCCCAGGGTGCAGCCCACAACAGCTAGCTCCTCCTCTGCTAGTTGAACAGAGGCATCAGGCAAAAGAAACTGATTTATTGTTGGTCTTGGCCACGAATCAAACCTCGGTCCCTGGATTGTGAATTGCGGACGCTAACCACTCGGCCGCGACGCCCTAATGTAACACCTGGCTGGGGTCATGGGGTCACATTGCGAAAGCGTTTGGAATATTTTTTCATTTTATTTCCCCTATATGGAGAAATGTGTTATATATGTGTATATATATATATATATATATATATATATATATATATATATATATATATATATATATATATATATATATATATATATATATATATATATATATATATATATATATATATATATATATATATATATATATATATATAAGGTCTTAATCAGACCTCAGTCTGAATCAATGTACAACTTATCTGCGCATCTTATAATTACAATGATAACTTAAAGCAAACGTCTTACAATGTGACTTCTTTGAGTTACAATCTTGATTTTACTCTACATAGATTATACTTTTAACACAAACTTTTTTCTTTATAAGTTAGAACAGAATTATGGATTTCACATTATTTTTAGCTTTTATACTGAAATTATTTGCTGTTTCTTGCCACGTATGTTTAAAATGATCTCTAAATGGCTCAATTGCACGCAGTATACCATGTAATGATGTAGTATGTGTGTGTGTAGCCCCTGACACACCTCACGTTCCATCCTTGTTAGGATGTGGAACTAGGATTTAACCACTCTATAGGATTTAACCCCTTTCTAGGTGGTCTAATTCCCAGGCAGGATGTTGTGTTCATGTTGTGTGTATAGTGTTTATGCTACACGTGGAGTATTTGGTGTGGTGTGTTTGTATACGTTGTATACCGTGTGTGGTGTGTTTGTATACGTTGTATACCGTGTGTGGTGTGTTTGTATACGTTGTATACCGTGTGTACTCACCTAATTGTGCTTGCGGGGGTTGAGCTTTGGCTCTTTGGTCCCTGTGTGTGGTGTGTAGGTTGTGGTGACAATGTACAGGTCTGTTGTCCATCTTGCAGCGTGACGCGAGCGTGGTGCTGGTGAGCCTGGTGTGCCTGCTGGCCCTCGTCTCCCTCGTCCAGGCCGCCTCCATCACCAGCATGTGTATCAGGTGAGAGCACGAGGCATGGGCTCACCACCGTCCCTGGCCTCCAGGACTGGGTACCACCTCCTGAGTGAGAGAGAAAGAGAGAGAGAGAGAGAGAGAGAGAGAGAGAGAGAGAGAGAGAGAGAGAGAGAGAGAGAGAGAGAGAGAGAGAGAGAGAGAGAGAGAGAGAGAGAGAGGGGGGGAGAGAGAGAGAGAGAGAGATACAATAGCCAGGTCAGATCTAGATCTCTGATCTAGAGAGATCAGTTAGCCAGGAGAGGGGGAGGGGTAAACAGTAGGGGAATTCATTGCAAAGATTTTGCATAAGAAAAGACTAGAGTGAAGTCACGCGACTGTAAACTACATGAGTTATCGTTCCACACGGAAAAAAAACAAGATGATAACGACTATAAATATGTGTTTAGATGTTTATTTAATTTTTAATGCGTTTGAATGGCTACAACGTTCAACATTCACACTGAGAACCAGAGTCTAAACCTAGTTTATAGAGCCCTTTATCTTACCCGATTAAGGCCTATCAACCTCTCAAATTAAGCTCAAAATAACAGCTTACTGACCAACCTTATTTATTTACTTTACTTATTAATGAATCAATATAGAAGGTACAATGGGTTGTGTCAGTAGATATTTTGGTGATTTAAGTGATTAACATTTAATCTTTAACAAAGAACTAGTGACTAAGGAATACAATGAGAAGTTGGAGTAATGTCAGAGTTAACACAATTACTGAATATAACATTAGCAAAGGGGTAAGGTGCTGATAATGAGAAACTATAATGAACGAGTTATATTTCTAGATTGTAAAGTACTAGGTGAGTTAGTGAAATATTATGTTGAGAAAATTAGAGACTTTATTGTTTTACATTGGAACAAAGTATGGGTTGAACAATCTTTTACTTAATAATGAAACAAATTTCATATATTGGGTCCCTATATTGGGTTGTAATTGGGTAATTACAGGGTTTGTTTACATCAATTTAGTCGAACTCTGGGAATATCACTCGTATTTAGTATGATGTTCGTGATATCTAGGGAAAGATTCCCACATGAATAGTATTGAAGAATAAACTTTGTAAATGAAAACAGCAGTAAATGAAAATGTGTAAATGAGAATGTGTAGAGTACATCTTTAACATGTTTAAGGAGGTGAACAAATTTGGTGAATGTTGTTTGAAGACTTTGTTAAAATTGGACTGGTGACTAACGGTGTGTCCCTGGTGTGTGTGTGGCAGGAACTGTGGACAGTGTAAGGAGATGTACGGCGACTACTTCCACGGGCAGGCGTGTGCTGAGTCCTGCATCATGACGCAAGGGGTCAGCATCCCTGACTGTAACAACCCAGCCACCTTCAATCGCTTCCTCAAGAGGTTCATCTAGAGCCCTCCGGACCACAGTCTTCATGAGAGCCCCCAGGCCAGCAGGGTCATTTTAACAGCCCCTTTGGTTGGGGGGTTTCAAGAGTCAGGGATATTACTATCTTAAGAGCCCCTGGGGGGCCCTGGGTCATCTTAAGAGCCCCTGGGGGCCCTGGGTCATCTTAAGAGCCCCTGGGGGCCCTGGGTCATCTTGAGAGCCCCTTTGCCTGCGCCATCTTGAGAGCCTCTGGACCTTTGGAAGAGCCTCTGAACCATTGGTCAATTTCCAGAAAATGTATATTCTTGGTTGTGTGAGGTCTCCTCCGGACTTTCTCTGCTCCTTCTGTAACTCTCGTCTGAGAGTTATAGTTTACTTTTACGATCCGGAACGTCCAAAGCTTGTAGTCGTTAACTGAACCGACACGTGAACGCTGCCAATCACCACAGCTCTCTCTATCTATCTCATGTTTGTCGCCCCTTCATCTACTATGGATTTAAGACCGTTCAACTGTGTGTTAATTTTCGTATACATGCATTTAATATAATATTTACATTTCACTTCAGGCAGCAATGAATTGAGCACCTGACGCTAAAATATAAAGAGTATACAAAATTTGTTTAGTTGGTGGTTAAATACGTTTTCATTCTTTATTATACACCATTGTCAAGCTATTTCCCGATTGTTAATGTTTTTTTAAACCGATCATTTAAGTGTTATAGGCAGCATATTATGTTTAATTTAAAAAAAAATAATTATATTTAAAAGATTCTACCTTCACGTCACAAAAGAAAATTAGTGAGACAGTATAACAGAACCCGTTCTTGCACTTGCTTTCTGTCAATATTGGCTTATTTAATAAGTGCATATGTGACATACTAATTGGTTGTAAATATTTTAGTTTACCTTGAAAAGCTTCATAGAAAACACCGACCTCACCTAACCTTCTTAGTATGTTAAGATAAGCATCTTTTTGCATCTTAATTACAATTATTACTTAACGTATACCGTCTCACAGACTTGTGTGACCCTGGTGCGGCCGGACATGTTGCACCAGAGAGGGAACGCCTAAGGGACCACGAACGCATAATAGATTTGTCCGTGTAAACTCTAGTTGAGAGCACCAGGATGGTAGACGTTTGGTAAAGTTGTCTGTCATAAGAAGTTCTCAGTATATTTTTATATAGCCACTACAACTTGAGTACAGTTATATTTATTTTGATGCTGATGATGCTTTAGTTTTCAGTTGATGAGCTCTCGGGTCTACGTTTGGGTTAGGTATTTAATGGACTATGTCACCTGCTCTGATGCATATATGTTTATCCTCATACTTTGCTCTATTATTATTGCTCTATTATTATTTGCTCTATTATTAATATATATATATATATATATGTAAACATATATACATTTATAGTGTTCACTCGCACATTAATTCAACTGAAACTACATGTTCACACTTCACAGAAAGAAACATGCCATTTATTTTTTGAAGGCTGGTCAGTATACTACAGTAGAGGGAAGTGTCGAAGGGGGCACATACACCACCACATACACGGTCACCTGCTGCTCATGTCGGCGTGGTGGTGGTGGTGGTGGCAGGGGGAAGAAGAGGTCAACAATATATATCAAAGACCTGTAGAGTGTACAATAATATCCTCCAACCGATGCACTGTAAAATTATTTTCAACGGTAGGTTTTTAACACTGAGGAAAACAGTGTCTTGTTGATAAATGAAAGATGGCCACGCTGCCGGTGGGGTTAGGGGGGGGAGGGGGGGGCTCGTGTGAACTATAGGCACAATAAATAATGATAAATGATTCGTTTTAGTTTGATTTTTCAACCCTTGAGCCTCAAGGGCTAGACCCAACCCTTGAGCACAACCTATACCTTAACATATAAACAGAAACTACCTTATGTGTATGTTAATGAGGCAGGTGGCCTTACTTCTTCTTAGTTACGGCAGCTTATTGTACATATCAACCCGTTCTCGCACTTTCTTACAGTCAATATTGACTTATTAAATAAGTGCATATGTGACATACTAATTTATTGTGAATATTTTAGTTTACCTTTACTTTAATAAGTCAATATTGACTATACGAAAGTGCGAGAACGGGTTGCCATATGTTAGCTTTGTGTTGTCGGGAACCGGAAGCCTGTTAGGCTTATCCTTAGATCCCCTAAAGCCTAAGTTATCGACTTCCCGGGATGCTGCCCACAACAGTCTGTTGATTGGTTGATGAAGATCAAGTCACCCAAGAGGAGGCACGGGCATGAATAGCCCGTAAGTGGTAAAAAAAAAAATTGGAGTGAATGTGATCTTTGGTTGTGAAAACTATCTATTAACTCCTTGGTACTCATCTACTGCCGGGTGAACGGGAGAGTCAGGTGTAAGGAAACCTGCCCAAACGACTCCACCTATCTAGTGAGTATACAGATTGCTAATTAACCTGAACACTCGACTCGCGCATCGCGAGCGAGTTGGTCTGGGTTCGAGCCAGAGAGGATTGACCGGGCGCCAGTGCTTAATCATTCATATCCCCCTCCGTTCACTCAGCAGTAATTGGGTACCCGGTTGGAACACCAATTGGAGGGTCGTGTTCCAGAGCAAAGCTGTACCATGATCTACGGGGCGGGAAAGCTCTCCACCAGGTAAGAGGAGTGGCCAGGCGTGTCTCCTCCTCTACCACCTGGCTCACAAAACTAACGATTTACATTCTTGACTGTAGCCTCAAGTCTCGCCCCACGACACTTACAGAATGCAAATTGAATTCCTTGGTGAGAGGGGGAATCACTAACACAATAACATTATTGCTTTAGTGTTTAGCTTAAGGCCTATCAGTCTCTGTAGGGTTATTAGCACCACTCTGTAGGGTTTAGGGAGCCGGTCGGCCGAGCGGACAGCACGCTGGACTTATGATCCTGTGGTCCTGGGTTCGATCGCAGGCGCCGGCGAGAAACAATGGGCAGAGTTTCTTTCACCCTACGCCCCTGTTACCTAGCAGTAAAATAGGTACCTGGGTGTAAGTTAGCTGTCACGGGCTGCTTCCTGGGGGTGGAGGCCTGGTCGAGGACCGGGCCGCGGAGACACTAAAAGCCCCGAAATCATCTCAAGATAACCTCAAGAAGATAACCACCACAGTACCTTAATGACAAACCATTAGGAGTACTGTACTTTACTGCTAAACATAGTCCAGAAGTAAAGTAAACTTTCAGAACACATACACCGAGAAGCGCGGTAAACCTTTCAGTGTACATCACCTTGTTCTATCTTTATTGGTTTGGTTGCTTTATATTTATAAATGACTATATTTACAAACTTTATAAATGCATTATTCATTTACAAACACAACAAGTAATAGCCTAAGCTGATGATAATATTATTAGACTATATAATATCCTAATTTAAAAAATATACATTATTCACTTACACAAGAAACAGTACTAGTAGCCTAAAATATTAATTACGATTATAACATTAAATATAATATAAACCGGGAATGCTTATCATCGCAAACTGAACATATTTAAAAGTAAATAATTATCAAGAGAAGGCACCATCCCTGGAGGACTCCGTAGCGACGTCTCTGGCGCTGGATATTGAAATGGCGCCAAATATCACTTCGAACGCCAACGCGAGGATAAACAGACATAAGGCGAGCCATGTCAAAGCTATCGGATTCACCAAGGCTCCTGTACACGGACAAATGACCCCGAAGAACAGTAGGAAAAGCTGCTATACGCTCGTCCTGGAAATCAGGACACTGAAACAAGGAGGTGGACGACTTTAAGTTGGACAATGCAGTTAGGACTGCATTGAACATGGGCCAGATTCACGAAAGCACTTACGAACCTGTACATCTTTTCTCAATCTTTGGCGGCTTTGTTTACAATTATTAAACAGTTAATGAGCTCCGAAGCACCAGGAGGCTGTTTATAACAATAACAACAGTTGAATGGGAAGTTTTCATGTTTGTAAACTGTTTAATAAATGTAACCAAAGCCGTCAAAGATTGAGGAAAAATGTACACGTTCGTAAGTACTTGCGTAAGTGCTTTCATGAATCTGACCCCTGGTCGACAAGCAGCAGGGCGGCGTTCTATTGAGTGCAGGCGATGAGTCACAATAACGTGGCTGAAGAATGTTGACCAGACCACACACTCACTAGAATGTGAAGGGACGACGACGTTTCGGTCCGTCCTGGACCATTCTCAAGTCGAGTCTATTGAGTACTCGCGGGTCCAGTGTGTGTGTGTGTGTGTCGAAGCTAATGCCGACAATAATAACTATCGCGACATCAACAGATATAAAATAAACAAAGGAGACAAATTAATTTAGAGTCATTTATTTTGAATGGAAAGAGATCATTTATTTTGACTCTGAACCTTTATTTAAAGACATGGAATTACATTGTGTTTACAATCCTCTTCTTTGTGATTGTTTCATTCGCCCACACCTACGCTTACACATACGTTTTGGCTATACTTAGATACACACAGGTTTACCCTTCACTTTTTTCTGTTCCATATCCTGTTGACCTTCCATGGGTCGCTGAACGTAAAGCCCAACTTGTGAGTGAACGAGTGAACGTGATGTCATATACTGACAGAGAGATATAATCAACAAGATATAAATAAACCTAGAAAGATTAGACATATTTTTACTCAATATATATATCATCAAAATGCAATACTTTGCAAAGCCTCTTGAGTTTTACATCGTCACCAGATCAAGAGTCAAGCCTAAATTATGCACACTTTAACCAGAGGTCAGTGGACAGTAGTGGCAACGGTTACAACAACAACAGTAGCCATGTCAGCATTAACAGCAGTAGTTCCAACACCATGAGATGTTGCAGATTAAACAGTAGCAGCAGGAGTAGCAGCGTCAACAGCAACGGTATTAAAGAGTGGTAGCACTAGGCGGGTCACCTTCACGAACAGGTCCAGAGCGGAGACAATGAACCAGAGTATAATTATAGGGTAGGTCCACCTCTGGCCCTGTTGGTGTTCCTGCTCCACTCATCATCTTCACCACAACACTTCCTCTCTCCCTCCCCAGCCTAGCCTCAACACAACACCAGTACCTCCAACACAACACCACAACACTTCCTCTATCCCTCCCCAGTCTAGCCTCAACACAACACCAGTACCTCCAACACAACACCACAACACTTCCTCCCTCCCCAGCCTAGCCTCAACACAACACCAGCACCAGTACCTCCAACACAACACCAGTACCTCCAACACAACACCACAACACTTCCTCCCTCCCCAGTCTAGCCTCAACACAACACCAGCACCACCAACACAACACCAGCACCACCAACACAACACCAACACCTCCAACACAACACCAGTACCTCCAACACATCACCACAACACTTCCTCCCTCCCCAGTCTAGCCTCAACACAACACCAACACCACCAACACAACACCAGTACCTCCAACACATCACCACAACACTTCCTCCCTCCCCAGCCTAGCCTCAACACAACACCAACACCTCCAACACAACACCAGTACCTCCAACACATCACCACAACACTTCCTCCCTCCCCAGCCTAGCCTCAACACAACACCAACACCTCCAACACAACACCAGTACCTCCAACACATCACCACAACACTTCCTCCCTCCCCAGTCTAGCCTCAACACAACACCAACACCACCAACACAACACCAGTACCTCCAACACATCACCACAACACTTCCTCCCTCCCCAGCCTAGCCTCAACACAACACCAGTACCTCCAACACAACTCCACAACACTTCCTCCCTCCCCAGCCTAGCCTCAACACAACACCAGCACCACCAACACAACACCAGTACCTCCAACACAACACCAGCACCACCAACACAACACCAGTACCTCCAACACATCACCACAACACCACAACACTTCCTCCCTCCCCAGCCTAGCCTCAACACAACACAACACAACACAACAGATGAAGTCCTTCACGAAACGCAACAAGAGAGATCTGGGAGTTGATACCACGCCAAAACTGTCTCCTGAAGCCCACATCAAAGGAATAACATCAGCGGCCTATGCGAGGCTGGCTAACATCAGAACTGCTTTCAGAAACCTGTGTAAGGAATCCTTCAGAACCTTGTATACCACATATGTAAGGCCAATCCTGGAGTATGCAGCCCCAGCATGGAGTCTGTACCTAGTCAAGCACAAGACGAAGCTGGAAAAAGTTCAGAGGTATGCTACTAGGTTAGTGCCAGAACTAAGAGGCATGAGTTATGAGGACAGACTACGTGAACTGCACCTCACGTCACTGGAAGACAGAAGAGCTAGGGGAGACATGATCACCACATACAAAATTCTCAGGGGAATTGA